ACTGTCTGTAGCTTCCAGAATGATCTTTGTAAAGTGGGTATCTGATTATGTCACTTTCATGTTGTGATACTTTGATGATCTCTATCACTCTTGGGATAAAAGACAAATTCCTTCCCATGGCTTTAGAAGACACTTATCCTAGATTTCATCTCTCACCTTTCCTCACTCTCATACTGTAGCACTGTCCTGTGTGTGTAGTCAGCAATAACTAAATATTGGATGAAATAACCTCAAAAGCCATAAAATTATTTCAACAAGTTTACACAAACATGCTTCTAGCAGCTACTCAATATTTCTTAAATGACTGAAATATAACAAGTTAAGTCTCCATCAACTGGCTATCTATAGGAAATGACAATTGATTTGTTTGTATTTTATTAGCAGCTGTAGGAAACCAAACTGACTTCCATCGACTTGATTAGACTCACAACGACCCCTCCTTGGGTTTCCAAGGTGGTATCTCTACTGAAGTAGATTGTCCAATCTTCCTTCCAAGGCGTGGCTGGTGGGTTTGAATCACCAGCCTTCTGGTTAGCAGTCAAATGCCTTAGGCACTATGCCACCAGAGCTCCCCAGCAGCTATACATGCATGTAAACTACTTCTATTATTTTTGCCAGTCAGATCATTTCATTCAAATATCACTTCAAGTAGCTAAACTAGGTGTACTGCAGGAAATCCAAAATATATGATTGTTAAAACTGTGACTTTTCAGTCATTGTTAGAGAGTTTATTATCTTGAAAACTTTAATAGTATTAGTACAAGGGCTTTATATTTTCATTTTACAATGGGCCCCACAGATCATGTACCAAATCCTGTAGCTTTGTTTAAGTTTTCTCCTAACTTCTCACTCCCCTATACGACCGAAAGATAGATACCCAGAGGAATTTGTTTGGTGTTACTCATTATGCTTTTAATGGTCACTGTCAAATTAGTGGCCATAGAGCTCCACGTAGGCCTAAGACTTTGGCTTCTTCATCTTTCCATTCTAAGTGCAAAGCACAGTACTTCATACAAAGTAGGTGCTCAATTAATGGGTGAGTGAATAAATGAATACTAAATTATCAACAAATTCTTGTTGACTTATTTCATTGATAAAATCATTTAATTTTTAATGATTTTAGCTTTGCAACGAAAAGTAACTAAATGGATTGAAAGAAAGACAAACAATTAAAGAAAAAGAATGTTTCTTGGAAAGAATAAATGAACTGAATTGATTGGAAAGGTTCAAGCAAGTAAGACAGAAAGACAGGTGAACTCCACGCCAGAAATACAAGTGATGGGTGAGGATGGGGGTGGATGGTTAAAAGCAATTAGATGTCTTTCAATATGTTATATCCTGAGGTGAATTCATTTTTCTCAAATTCAGTTTAATATACATCAGATTAATCATCAAGTTGTAGTTTAAGAAATGAAAAATCTTATTCAAGTTTAGGGAAAGTAGAGCATATGGGCTGTGAATTCAGAGGATCCAAAAGATTATTGATTCTTCTTGGGCTAGCCCAAGAGTTTCTTGACTTATTGTTTTGTATCATGAAGCAGAGAAATAAGAAGAAAGAAGGTGTGTTCAAAAGTGAGTTTTTATTTGCTTCTTCTGTCTCTGCAAGATAGATGGAGCTGATGTCTTGGCCCTTAGTTAATCTTGCTTGGCTAAGCACAGTTTTGGTCTTTAAATCATGACAATTTCCTATCCATGAAATTGCTCTGAGAAATATATTTCTGACATTAGTTTCCATAAAATAAAATAACAAAAAAACAATGCTTCTTTCCCTGGAGTTTTTTATATTGTTTTGCTTCTCACACTCATCATAGAATGCCATCATAGAATGCTCTGAGTTTACAAAGCCACAAATGGAGAAATGGGAGAAAGAAGAACAGCAGAGTATAACTATCTTGAATTTTTTTTCTGAAAGCCAACATTAAAAGCACCATACTTCTTTGGAGTATCAGTTCTTTTAAAACTGTGAGGTTACCTCTTAATGGTCTCTCTCTGTTTCCTGGGATAGCATGATCTTTAAAGATGTTTCCTATAGCATTGTGTAGCCTTAGTTTCTCTATGGTTGCCGTATCACACTTGCATAAGAGACTAAAATTGTGCACAGATGCTCAGGTGTGGCTTTAATTTTCATTTTCATTCCAGCAAAATAATTTCTTCTAACATATTCATTACTTCTATTATGGTTCTCCAAATTATGCATGGTGCTGTTATAATGCTGGTTCACTGAATATTAAATATGTGAAAGCAAGTGATTTTATGCTTCAGATAATGATTTATGGGAAAATTCAATTTTTAGAGGATGATAGCGGTGGCATAGAGGTGAATAATAGCACGATGTTCACAGGCAAAATAAAACAATGGTGGAACCAAGTATTTTGGTGTAAGTAAAGTCTAAAAGTAGTGAGTGAGGAGAGTGTTAGGGAGCATTATTAGTCAGGGACACTCAGATTCAAAATAGGTAATGATGAGATCATGGGGACAAAGACCCGAGCTCCAATTTAGTGTGCTTATGGGACCAGTTGAAGAGCTGCAGGATTTGATGAGATGCATAAAATAATTTCATACATGATCTTTAATGGGAAAGCAGACAATTAAAACACAGCTTCCTTTAATCTGGGAGAAAACAGATTTTTTTCCTTAAATATCTAGTGAAATAGAATGAGTAGGCATAGGAAAATATTTTTTTCCCACCCAAGTACATTCCTCATGTTCAACACTGAGCAAAGTGAATTGCTCAGACAATTTAATGATGGTATTCGACAAGAAGATGGATGGTGGAATCATCTTTGTTATTCCCATCACACATTTGGATACTGTGCTTTACAGATTCTACTGCTAGAATTGTGACCATCATTAGAAAAGTTCAGTCTAGAATTCTTGGCTTTGGTCCTGTAATTTGGACCATCATAGAATGCTCTGAGTTTACTAAGTCACAAATGGAGGAGTGAGAGAAAGGAGACTAGCAGAGAACAACTATCTTAAATTTTATTCTGGAAGCCAACATTAAAAACACCAATCTTCTAGAATGCAAGTTCCTTAAATCACCAGAAGCTGTTAACTTAAAATAAATAAATAAATATTAAAAAATAATAAAGAAGAAGTACTAGAATCCTTCGTTCAGTTTTTGAATCTGTCTAAGACTGATCAGGCAGAAGAGCCATTTTTGCTAATTTTAGAAAAGTAATGCAAATATATAACAGAAAATTGGCGACTTGATCAAACTCACTTCAGGCGAAGCCTGAGCTGAATGTTACATGAATATTCAAACAATAGCAACCTGTTTGAAATTGCTATTGAGTATATTTCCAAAATTTATGCATTCTATCATCTCCTAGGCATAAAGCCAAAGGCTGAAAGAGCAGAACATGAAAAAGCTGAACCTGAATTATGTTCTAAACCCTGTTGAGTTTAATTTTACTTACAAAGCAGAATGTTGGTTTGCCACTTAAATTTGCCCCTACAGCCCTGCAAAAATACCTAGTTTCTTGTTATCAGCCTCTAAATTGTGTTATTCATTTGGAAAGCTCCAATTTTGGGAGCATCATTGTAAATTACTAGGCAAGTGCTACACAATAAACACACATAATCTAAAATAGACCATAGCAGGAGAAGAAAGTAATTTTCCATAAATTTGACTGCAGTGTGGGGTTTGCAGTTCCATAAGCCTTGTAACTTCGGAAGGCACAAAGGACGTTTTTTAGCTAAATGGAATATTATGAGAGGAAGTGCATTTTTTGAAATTAGGGAAATACAGATACACATTCTTTATACAAATTTGGAGAAACGTTCAAATAGCCTCCTGAATAGAAACACACAAAATATGAGCAAACTGCCACTCATTCCAGATACACTCCTTCTTTTAAAAACGACATTTTATTGGGACCAACAATTCATACACTACCAAAAATCAATAAACTTTTGGAGACATACACTACTGAAACAAAGAAGTGATGCCTCATGTTCCCTTCATAAGGTTTTTATAACATTAATGAAGTCTTAAAAATTAAAACACTCTAGATGCATAAAAGATCAGTGAATCAAAAATATAAAAGTCCTCTTGTTGGGTTGTGAAATTTTAATTTCAGAGACTTCATGCAATAATCACAGCAGTAAAAATGCATTGTCTAAGATCAAAAAAGAAGAGGACACAAAGTGGGATTCTGGTAATGTTCTTCTTGTTACCTTGAATGGTAGTTACATGGTGTGTTTGCTTTGTGATTATTCATTGAGATGTACACATGTACACTTACAATGTGAATTTTTCTGTAGGTATATTGTACATTAGTAAAAAGGCAAAGGAAAGAAAGAACAAAAATACATGCTAGGATCTGCATCTCCCATAAGTGGGGATATTGTACTAAGGGAATGGGTGCTGAATTAATTAATCATTTGCTTAATTCATGTAAAACGTAGTTTCACAGAATCACAGAATTTGGTGGTACTGCTCATAGTTGGAGACCACTTAACTCGTTTCAGCATGGAGAGGCTGTGTTGACATTTTTAGACTTTTGAAAAATTCTTGTCACTTAGCAGTTATAAATGTCACCATCTTAGGCATGTGGTTTTTCTGTTTTTGGATGCAGACTTTAGAAGCTAGAGGAGGAAAAAATGTGTCTAGGGGTTCCACTAGCTTTGCTTTCAAAAATACACACACACACAGACACATATATATATACAAGCAAATTTTATCTCTGTAGTTCAAGTGTCTTAGAGGGTCAATTGTTTAAAATTTCTTATTGGCATAAAGTTGGTTAAGTATTGCATGACCACTTATTACTAAAAGTGTTTTGGACCCTGAAGTTGGATCTGTAGTTTTTGTCTTTCCTAAGGATCAGTTTTCTATGTAATCTTTTCAAAGCAAAAGGTTAAGCAAAAATGACATATATTGTAAAATTGAAAGTAAAATGCACAGTACTGATATACTCAACGTCCATTCATTTAAATTCCTTTGTATGATAATTTATGGTGATCATGTTTTCAGACTGCACTATTAGCATACTCACCCCTAACAAGAAGTTCTGCCTCATCTGACACACTGTCTGCTGTGGTCTGTACCCTGCAGCCATATCTCCCAGCATGCATCAGAAGGATGTTCCTGATCATTAAATCTGCAGAGGATGCTTGCTGAAAGAGGGATGAAGTGCCAGTTTAAAATGTTGCAAATCTGCCTAGTTCAAGGTGGTTTAAGGGGGGACTTTGCATATTCAGTAAAAGGGCCCATTTTTGGCCTTACAATTTTATATGACAACAATTCAGCAATCAACATGCCTTATTCAAAAGAACACATGAAAGTTATGTTTTCAACAATTGCTAATAGGGTTTGAACATTTAATATTGCATACAATGACTTATCAACTCAAATATTTAAGAAATATTTAAATATGCAAACACAAACTCAGATCTTTAAAAATATAGAAAAATATTCAGTAAGCAACAATTTATTGCTTTGCTATTCCATCAGGCCTACTTTTGTGGCAAGAAAATAGTGTTGAAAGGAATTGAGACTTGAGGGAAATTAATTCTGAGAAGATAGTAATCAAAAGATTATCTCATGTGGCTTTATTGAATGGCTCCTTTTGTAAATGCACTGTGGACAACAGAATGACAGTGTTCGGGTGAAAGATTGTTGCTCTCACAGCCATATGTCTTTACTTAACAAAGATTTATTCCTCCCATAACCACCATCATCAGGGAGCAGGGTCAGTCTGAATCTTTGTAAATCAATGCAGTTACAAAACACAAAGGAGGCCTAAAAACTTGATTCTTGTTGTGAGCAAGATGAGTAGAACATAGTTGAAGAATAACTGTAGTTAAGGAGATCAATAAGTATCAGGGAAGATATCTTTCAGATTTGTCATTCATGAGATCAGTGATAGTCCTACACTTTAGAATGTCTGGTACATACAAACCTTTCATTATTTAATCTCATCTGTCATTTACTCTATCAGGAAAGATAGATTTCCTTCATTTTGTATATGTGAGTTTCTGGGTTTACAGTTTACAACTCATGAGATTTTTTTTTTTTTTTTTTAGGTAATGATATAACAAACTTCCAATACTGCTTTCAGTTTCTTGCAATCAAAGAATTGACTGGAATGAGCGCAGATGAATGCAGCTTGAAATGATAGATGCAAAGAACTCAAAACTCTCCAACAATAGCTGAGCACATAAAAAAATATTTAATGCAAACCATAGAGAAGTGTCCCAGATTAGAGAGTTTTTATTGTTTGATGGAATGAAAGTGAGTTAGTTTTTTCATGAAAATGATGTATTTATCCTTAGAGGGCAGTATTTTGATGATTATTGAAGAGTTCAGTTGTTTGCCTTTATTTTGGAAGCAATCCAGTGGGTTATATGAAAATCAAGAAAGCAAGACTAGTTTATAGAAATACTTCAAATTCATTTCTTTCCCTTTTCATTGGAGTGGGAGGAAAGTCACTGTGATCTTTTTTATCTCTCAAATAATGTGTTTTTTTTTTCCAATTAGTTTTTTTTCTTTTTTAATTTTTATTGTAATTTGGGTGAAAGTTTACAGAGCAAATTCATTTTCCATACAACAGTTCACATACACTTTGTCTCATGACATTGGCTGCAATTTCCCACAATGCAACCACTCTCTTCCCAGTTCCTCCCCATAGTTAACTCTTCCCTGTGTCCTTTCCTCCTATGCACTCTTGCCCCACCCCCAAACTGTCTCCCTGTGCATACACAGTCCTTCTATTCAATCACTCAATTAATTTCTTAACTATGTACTATATTTTAGACTATTTCATTCTGGTATTCCAATTCCATTTCCTTTCTTTCCTGTTAGTCATATGATAGGAACTTCTAATGATCTTGAAGTTGTCTTTCATGAAATGATTAAGACATGGTCTGGTTTAGCCACTTACAAGGAAATGCTTCTTGGTGATGATGCATTAAAGTGCCGTAACAATTATTTCAAAGAATGTGATATTTGTCTAGTGGATATCTTGCACTGCTAATTTATTAAGGATAAATTGTTATTATTACACTCTAACAAAATTCATCTTCTCATTTCCACCAGACTCATATCTTTTAAGTCTGAAAAGGAAACAGAAACCCTTGAATGTATTAGGGGGGTAAAAACTATAAATACAAGTAATAATTCAGTTTCAAATCAACATAATTTAATGCTGTAGGAATGAGCTTCAACATATCTGCCATTTTAGTTAATGTGGGCCCACCTCAAGTGTAAAACACCATTTTGCCCACTGGCTTTCTTAGAAGTTCTCTTAATGTGGAGTTATTGTTGTTGTTGTTATTTGCCATTAAGTCAGGCCTGATTCATAGTGACCTCTCTTTTGGTTTCTGAGGCAATATCACTATGGAAGTAGATTGCCCAACCTTCATTCCAAGGAGTGGCTGCTGGGTTTGAACCTGTAGCCTTCTGGTTAGCAGTCATATTGCCTTAGGCACTATGCTACCAGATCTCCCTCAAGTAATTTCATTGGGAATCTATCTGCACTCAAGTGCCCAGGATGAGGTCTATGTTAAACAGACAAGCCAAGGACAGGCCCCAGAAAACAAGGGAGAATTTTGATGTTTCAAGAACAATATCCCCCAAATGACTATCTATGCTTGGCATTTTTTATTTGTTTGCCTTGTTTTTTATTTGCTTGTATGCTTTTTAATAACACAAACCGTATCTGTGACAATTCAAAGCTGAAAAAGTACCTATTATAAGTCATTTTTGAACTCTCACATTCCTGAAAAACTATTTCAGGAAATAACATTACTGTGACTAAATTACTGATTGTTTAATTTCCCTGATGTTTTTCCTCCCAAATAATTTTTTTTCTTTTTGCCCTGGACAAAAATTCCGAAGCCTTTGTCTTTTTGTGGAATTATAGTGAAAGAAAAGCTTAATAGGATGAAGAAGTGACTTCATTAAAGTCACATAAAGGTCCAAGGAATTCAGGAGAGTGAGGTATAGATTATTTTTCCTATGCTGTCTTTTACTCAGTTCTTGCAATTAATACCATGCAATGTCCTATAAACTGGCTGGAGCTCCACCATCATCTATCAAGGACAAAAAACTATAGTCTATTGCATATCTATCAAAACCAAGAATATCCAAAAAACTTGAAATCATCTAATTTTGAGACAATTTCTTATTTTTTGGATTATATCTGCATCATATTTTTAAAATTCTAAACAGGTAAGATTAAAAGTAAAATGATTGGAACATGAACGCTAAACTTAAATTATCCTTTCACTAGATTTACTGATCTTTCAAAAGAAGTAATGAGAAGAATTCATGTGGGAGCCCATTATACTTAATCTCAGCTCACAGTACACAGTTTCTGAGAGTGAACCTCCACAATTTAGTGCTCTTTTAATGAAATGGTTACTTATAGCAGACACTTGCTTTCTTACTCTTAAATTTCATTTTCACTCTTTCTCTCTTAGGAGTTATTCTCTCTTTTCTTGACACTTGCTTTATTTTCTGCCTGTTCTTTGCTGTTTTCTTTGGTTTTGTAAGAAGATCATGTTACTTGGTGCTTCAAACAGGATTCCCCATAACCAGTGCTTAACAGAAAGCCTCAACACCTAGAACACTGCATGTCACACAGCAGGAACTCCCTAAGTCTTTGTTGAATAAATGAAGAGTCTTTAAGAAAGAGGCTGTGTGTTCATCTGCTGGTAGAAGAGCAACATGGTGATGTCACCTACATTTCTTGGTCACACAGTTTCCTTAGAGCCACTGCAAAATTATGGTGACTTCCTAAGGCATATGGCTGCTAACCAGAAGGTTGGTGATTCAAACCCACCAGCCACTCCATGGAAGGAAGACTGGGCACTATACTTCCGTAAAGATCTACTGCCTCAGAAACTCAAAGGGGGTCTTTATAAGTTGAATTGACTTGATGGTAGTGAGTTGGGTTTGGTTTTTGGTTTTCATTTATGACTTTGGAATAAAGCATGAAAACATCATCTTTCCAGTCAAGTCCTTATTAGCTTTTGCTCTGATAAAGTGCCCTGCTCACAAGGCTACCTTTTATATTCCTAAGATGGAAGCTTATTTAACTTTGCTGTTGGCTCCTTATGTGTCTTTAGGATGAAGTTCAATCTCCTTATTTCAATGTAGAAAGCTCTTTAGGGCATCGTTCTACCTATTGAGATCAAATTCTGTGCTTCTACAACACTCATCTTAGATTTTTCCACACGTAAGAGTGCTTCCTTTAACTCTGCTTTTATTTTGTTGTGGTTGCTCTTTCTCCTTTCTTTGCCTAGGAAGCTACTTTTAGTCACAGCTCAGATGCCATCTCCCTGGTGAAGGCTTTTTGGAATCTCCGTAGGCTCCATTGAATTGGCCACTGTCTATGCTCCAAGGTTCCCTGTCGCCTTTCCCAGAACTGAGCTGCTCACTGGCACTATGAGTTAACAAGTGAATGAATGGCTTACTTTTTCCTTTGTGGCTAATGGTGTCCCTTTATTTCTCTCTCAAAGAAATTAGGAAGGGACACAGGAAAAGAGGAAGACATTGGAAAAGAGTACTTAAAGAGAATGTACAGGCTTTGGAATGGCAAAGTATTGTGTGAATCACTGCTTTCCCACTTCTTAGATCTTAAACTTGGGAAAATTAATCAATCTCTCAGTTTTTTTCAGAGCTTTAATGTGATAATGTGAGTAAAGCCTACAGCAATATGTCTGGTACTTACTAAGCATTTGATAAATATTATCTGTTAAAGGGTGCTATAATTTCACTCTTAGCCAAGAGGAATTTTTCTTTAATTGGTATTCATTTCCTCAACAAACTAGATATCAAAGTTTTCTATAGCTATTGTAAGTTTTTGGATAAGTACCTAGCTTTTTCTTTTAAAATGTATGTCTCATTCGTTCTCTCCCTCCTCCCTCTTTTTCTCTTTATGGCATTATGGTTTAGTAGAAAGCCGTTGGACTAGCAATAAGAAGACCTGAGTTATAGCCTTGGTTCAGTAACTTCTCAACCCTGGGACTCTGAGAAAGTCACTTTATTGGGATGATAACACCTGTACTGTCTCTTTCATGGTATATTACAGAAAATCAAATGAAAAAACAATGTACACACACAAACTATTGGGAAATGTTTCAAAAGTATAAAGTACTCCTAAGGCATTTTC